GCCAAACGGTTCAATGCCTCATGAGGCTTCATCTCACCATCACTACCATAACCATTACATACAATTTGTTAGCGATGATGGATACCAAAAAGAGATAATTAAGCGGATTCAAGAAAAGAAAAAAGAAAGAACGGAAAAAAAAACTTCCCCACATTCTTTCAAACAACCAAAGAGGCAGAGTGTTGGGTTTGATAAGCACCTCCTTAAAATTAGTTTTTGGAACTTGGGATGTCTGTAACATTGCGTAGTGCTCTGTCACTGTCACCAATGGTTCCATTCAAGGAGCATACTCACTATTTTTCTGTGTGTGATGTTTGATTTTATGCTACTGAGAATTGCATAATTGTATCTTCTTTGCCGATTTATGCAACTGTCACCGTTTCCTGAACCTTTATCACGTGTTGCACTTCATATGAGGCCCACCCAGATAATGTTATGTCGTTACGCCATTATCAGGAATAGTCGTTTTCAACAGTTTTTGGCTTCAATCTGTTCTTTTTTTTGAGAAAACTTCACCCACCTTTGAAAACACTTGTTCACAAGGCACTGAAGATGCTGGTGTGCATAAGAACACAAGTGCAAGTCTGTACATAAATAATGTAATTTTCCCCTCCCTATACTCCAATGGATTTTTCATATGGCTTGTGCTGGGCTTAAACGGCACCATCTGCAGTCACATTTCGGGATTTTCTGGCCTCCATCACACTTGCATCTAAACAATGCTAAGGCTTGCTACTAGAGAGAGAAAAGCAGCTGTTAGCAACAGTAATATGTAAAAGAAATAACTGGTCACAAAATAAATAAATCACCTCCGATGGTATCATGAGAAGTGGGAGCCTGGGGCGTTTCATCAAAGCTCCGTCCAGAACACATCATTTTGGCACATTTGAAGGTCAGTCTCATAATTGCCTCGGTGGCTTTGGTGAGGCTGAAAATTGTGAATCTGGGAACAAGGAGGGTAGCTAGAGCCAAGATGCTCATAGTTTGTATCCATTAAAGCCTGTCCCGTAGTTGCCTGATGAGATGGTCTCCAACTTCGAGAGCAGCTGGTGGTGCTGGCTTTGTTATCTCTTCCTGAAGGCTCTGCTCTCCTTGGAACACAATAAACACTTCACCTATAATTAGTAGTCAAAAGGGTTGTCACGATACTAAACTTTTCAACTAGATACCGATGCTAAGTAAAATGTTCAATACTCAATGTAATTTTCGATACCACAAGGATAAAAACAAAGACTCCAAAATTCAACAGAAATGTTTTAATTAATAAACAAAATACAATAAATAAATAAATAAATACAATAAACAATATTTTGAGGTTGTATGCTGTGCACAATATTAAACAAGCTTGATAAAATATATAATTTTTTAAAACAAAATTAAAATTAAGTGTTCCTTCCTTGGCTATGCTTTGCACACATAACAATGACACTGACCAAACCAGTTACAAAACAACAATAATTCTCAGCAGCTGCACCTGTTACAGAAAAAAGTCTGAAACCGAAAAGTGGAAAGAATTATTCAATCACACAGTGTTCTGAAAGTGCATTTTCCTCTAATCTGTGCATTAGATGAATGACTGTTTAGGTGCCACTGGTGGTGGCACTGTAACGATACTTTTGAAAATTAGTATTGTATCCACATACAACTTTTCAGTATCGATACTTTTTTGAATATCAATACTTTTGACAACCCTAGAAGTCAAAAATAAACAGCTGTTAAAAAAATCGAATATATCTTAAATAGGTTAGATTCAATATATTTATCTTACACATAGGTGACAGCCTCCTCTTTCTTGTTGACTCAATAGCGATCCTCTCAGTTATCTTCAAACACTCTTCAAACTCCAGACAC